GGTGAAGGGTATGTTTTTTCTTTCTCCAGTTTTTTTTCAAGGTCGTTTAAACTCTATTACAGAACTTTGAACCACATCTTCAAGGGGTACTTCCCCCACAAGGGCGCTGTTGACACTGGACGGAATGGTGCTCTCATTGCCATGGTCGCTGGCGAGTCTTCTGGGTATGCCATCGCGCCACTTCAGGCGCGTGGTACCATGTTCATACACCCCGGCACCCACGTATACCCCGGCATGGTTATCGGCGAATGCTCCAAGTCGCAGGACATATACGTGAACCCGTGCCAGAAAAAGCAGCTTACCAACATTCGAGCCGCCGGCGCAGACGAGAAGATCGTCATCTCTTCGCCGCGTATCATGAACCTCGAAGAGAGTATTGCGTATATGGATGACGATGAGCTGATTGAGGTGACGCCGAAGAATATACGGCTGAGGAAGCTGATTATGGATCAGACCAAGAGACAGCGGGTAACGAAAGGGAAGAAATAGATTATAGAGTAGGTTGAGTAAAAGTATGTTATTTCATTAATATAGAACACCCCAGCTCTGCATATCGATTCTACGCGTATGTGGAGTGCACTGCTGTGCGAGATATGACTGATGGAAGCTGAATGTAAGGACGTTCGCCTCGACGACGACACACTCGTAGAAACTGCCCATGAGAAGAGGAAGCTATATTGGATGTCGCAGGAAAAAAATATATCATCGCTCGGCATGAATCGACATGAATACTGAGAATCGAAAGAGATTAAACACCGGCAGGCCTTTCAGGTTAGGCGGTCGTCTGGAAGAAACCTGTCAAAGACAGTGATGCGATTAGCTCAGATCGCGTACCCTTGGTACTTTCGTAGAGCTTGAAGCTTCTGCTCATTCTGTGAGTGTAACGCTATGGACGATCATGTACGAGCTGGCTATTGCAAATACCAAGCAACTGTCTATCAGGGATAACCGCATTTGTAGCCTGTGGGAGAGTTGTAGAATCAACAACTCGTCCATAAAAGGCTTTCTACCCCCACAAAGCCTCCGTCGACTCAGAGCAAATGTGATCCAATCATGATATGTAAGACATACGTAACAACGTGTCCTAACTTCACCGTCCAGGAAGGCTAGAAAGGTACACGCCTTGCCTTCGATGCAGACCACCAACCTGGTAAACCCCATGCTCCCGCAGGAGATCACAGAAGCGATTATCGATTTCTGCGACCCGGAAAGCCTGCCATCGCTTTCTCTCACCGCGCGCGTTATGCGGATGCGGAGCCAAGCGAGACAGTTCAACTCTGTCACCTTGGATGAGGAAAACACATTTGCGTGCGAGCGCTTCGTCTCGCTCTCCCCGCACATCCCCAGTCTCGTGAAGAACCTGACGATCGTCGAGGGTCTGGGCACACTGTACGTCGCCAACGCGAGCCGGCGTGGCATAAAGATGGTCAATCGCGGCACGCTGTGGGCGTATGACGACGATGCGTTCGTCCGCGCTCTCGAGATGATGGCCAACGTCGAGGAGCTCATCGTCGAGAAGCTCGTCTGGCCCATCTTCAAGCAGCGCGGGCGGTGCCACCGGGCGCTTCTCTCTGTCGCGCGAAGCGTGGGCTCGCTGCAGCTGCAGAAATGTGTCTTCCAGAACCTGGCGCAGGTGCAGAGTCTTGTCCTGAGCCCGGGAAAGAAGCTCACTGACCTGTCGCTCCGGGAGCTCACCATCCTTGACTGTATGGACATCGAGGGTGAGGGGCTGATGTTGGATATCGGCACGCCCGTGGGTGATCTCAGCGATGAAGAGTCGGAAGACGATTTTGAGGACATGATCATAAATCATGAAGTAGAGGTCACAGGTGCAGGAATGGGGCACACGGGTGAGCCGGAGGTAACAGAGAACGAGGCGTCGATGATCGATGATCAGGACGACGACGAGCCTCTCGACATTCCGGTGGTCGCAGAGGAAGACAGAGCCACCATAATGGATTTGATGATTGAGATAGCCGACACGTCTGACGAAATCGTTTTGGACTGGCTGTTGAGCCCGGATTCCCAAGTAACTCTGGATGAATCGAATGGCATCTGGATCGTCATCGCAGAATGCAGTACGCCACGATTGGAGAAGATCCAATCTCTTCTCGACATTGCGGCGAGCTCCGTGAAGTTACTGGACCTTAACATAAAGTTAGGTGAGTGTTCTGAACCGGATATTATAGTCTCGGTATTGATCCTGTGCAGGCTTTCCAGAGATCCACCTACGGCTCCCCGATCTGGAGACTCTGCGGTGCAGTTACATGCCATTCGTATTCGCCTCGTCGGATGCGATCCTGGAATGGTGGTCTGAAATATTTGAAGCTGTCCAGCAACCTTCGACTTTGGAGAACATGACGCTGTGCCTGCATCCTTTAGGCTTTACGATGCGTAGTGGGTTTATAGCGGAGCGAGACGAAGTTCCACTGTGTTGGCAGAGATTAGATGCAGCACTGTGTCGCCCAGAGTTTGAGGCATTGAAGAGCGTGAGGATATCGCCACTCCCACCCGCAAGGGATTCAGTTTCTGAGGAATTCGCGTCCTACACCGAGTGGGTGTACAGTGACTGTTTGAAGGGGTTGGGAGATAAAGGAAAGGCGCACATAGACTGGGAGCTGTATAACATGGCATGCCGTGATACATAGACTGCTGTCATGAAGGAAACAGAGGTTTTTATGAGAGGACTACTTGCTTTGTTTTCCATTTTGAGCGACTCCGGCCAAAGCGTGAATCTCGTGAGCTAATGGCCCTGACGTGATCATAGACAGGGGATAATCGGTTTCCATATTCCCGCCACCTCGTCGACAGACAGACTGCCTTTGGCGTCGAGCCACGGCTTCTTATTTTTGGTTACTGGACTCTACACACTTTCTTGGTCTACACCCAATTATTTCGGAAGAGGAACTATCGTATTGACTGTGCGTTGTCATTCACTCTGTCAAAAAGCTGTTCTCTTACTACCGCGACCGTCCTAGGCGACACCATGCCTGCTAAATATTCGCACATTAAAAAGAGGCCACCCGTTGCTCCCAAAAACTCGAAAAAGGGCAACAACAGCACTGGGAATTCTCCGAAACATACACACAACCGGCGTCATGACACGCCCAACCCACACGGGGACCGCAGCTTAACCCAGGCCAAATCTGCTGTGTCTGAACTGGAGCGTGCTATTGCGCGAATCCTACTTCTCCGATACGAACAGGACATTGCCCGGCTGTTCTCGACGCGCCTGCACCACATCTCTGTCGTGTACATCCCCACCTTCGTCATGAAGTGCGTTACGCTCGCAGGACCAGGCTGGGCCGCGCACAACGCTGACTCTGAAGAGATCAAGGACTTTTTCCGCACCGTCATCGGCATGGATCTTAGGCAGGCCGGTGAGCGTGTGGCCACCAAGAGCCTGCTGTGGTCCTATACAGCACTTCGGCATTTCGTGAGTCTCGGCCTTGTTTGCTCTAGCATTTGTCGTGAGTGATCCAATCTAGGCCATGTCGAACGGCGTAGCCATCTGTCAGAAAAAAGGACTCCACTCCATGCGATTACTGCCATATATTTCCGGCATTAAAGCACACTTGGCCGCGTTGGAGTCTATGGCGTCTCCGACATTACTCAAACCGCCTCATTTGGGTGGATTTGCGGCGGGCCAGCACACACTTGAAGAGGCGTGTCAAACGAAATATGCTCGCTGGAGCGAGATCCCTTTGGAATGGCGTGAGGAAAGTGATTGGCGCCCGAAGGTGCGCTTAGGGTATGACAAAATTGTTCAGACGCTCTGGCGTGTGGCTAAAGAGTTTGACATTCGTGGCTACGGGCAAATTCTTCGGGATAAACTGTCTAACAAGTGGTGTGAGTGCGGCTGTTCGACCGACCACCTTGGGGATGTTTGCGAAAAGACGGTAAGAGAGCACGAGGAAGAAAGCGGTGTACGGAGCGGCAAACATAGAGAGTGGGATGGACGAGGCAGTGGTATATTCGGATGGGAGACTGATGAGGAAGAGGACATATGGGAACTCGAGCTGGATTTCCGCGGTATGGACCCGACGAGCTCGAGGAAGGCATTGATCCTTCCATGACTATCGGGGAAATCATGGAATGGCGTTTCCTGCGCGCTGAACATGAGAAGGAACAAGGTAACATTGCCTTCAGGCGCGCTATGTTCGACACGGCGATCACGCATTACGAGGCTGCTCATAAAATTGAGCCTGAGCTTCCACATTTTCAACTTAACATAGCGGCGGCATATCTTAAACTGTCGAAGTGTGTCCATTGCTTTGACTCGTGTTTTTGACTGATGTACTTTCCAAGATGGATCGAGGCCGAAGAGGCCTGCTCCAAGGCATTAAGCCAACATCGGAGCAGTAAAGGTCTCTTCCGTCGCGCAAAAGCTCGTCAAATGCTTGGAAAAACGGACGATGCTATGAAAGGTTTCGACATTCGCTTGGCCCTGTTGCATTCATTTAACCCATTTTCAAGATCTGCGTACCATCCTCCGCTTTCAACCCAGTAATCGGGATGCGCAAAGTGAGCTGATGGCTCTACTGCCTCCCAACACTGCGCCACCCCTACCTGCATCGTCCTCGTCTTCAGACGACCAACAATACCTCGAGCACTTGCACGAGTTTCTCGGATACCGAAGCCGAAGGCCGCGAAACCCATACCGTTCCCCAAGACGCCAGCGGATTCGGTAAAACTAAAGATCTGTATTCTTCCAACGAGTGATGTGCCGTTATGGGAACATCATCGTGAAGTGACGGAGAAGGGCAAGCAGAAGCTGACCATGACAATGAAGACGGAGCTGACGGATCGCGAGAAGGAGATGCAGAGGCTGAGAAAGTCGAATATGGCTTTTCCGGGTGGGATAAGTATGTTGTTAAGAAGGTTTGACCGTAGATAGTTATGGCGGCAAGCTATTGCTGTATTTAAGAAGGTCGTCTCGTATATTCTTGGGCGGATGTGTGCCCGGCTGAACGGAAGTATACATAAAGGTGCAACTATTGTCCCTCTTAGCTCAGTGGTAGAGCGCACCACTCGTAGTTTAACTACAACATGGTGAGGTCAGTCGTTCAATCCGGCTAGCGGGAATAGAACATGCATATCGACTATTTTTGTAGCTTTTGAAAATCTTGATATGACAGGGACTCCGAGGCCCTGGTTTTGAAACCGGTTTCGATACCGGCACGTGCTTTTACGACGTGATGTGGCGCAATGCTCCGCCCCCCTCTGCTCACCCTTATCCCGCCACTTTCAGCTTGCCTGAGTGCCAGCGCGCCATCACGTGAATTTGTCACGTGTTGGTACGAAACTGTACTGATACCTCGAGGTTTCGATACTGTATTGATACTGTTAAAAACCGCAGTAAACCCGAGGTGTATCGAAACCTAGGGTTTACTGCGCCACCCTACAGTATATTCCCAAAGGTGGTTCGTAACCTCGGCGGAATATACCCTCATTTTGGGTGTGTTATTAACGGTTACCGTTAATAACCGCACAACGCACTGTCTGAGGTGGCCATCATTGCCAATGACCTTTCAGAAGTCCTTGGGTCGGCTATAGCATTATGCATGCTCTTTCCTCGACTGCAGCTCTGGCATGGTGTTGTGATCACTGCTTTTGATGTGATCTTCATTCTTGCCCTTGGAGACCCTCTACGTGGCCGACCGGTGAAACTATTCGAGTTTTTAATAGCTGCGTTGGTCAGTTAACAGTCTCCGGCTGTACTAAATTGAACAAGGTTCTCGCTGTCCTGCTTTGCATATGCATTGTCATCTCGCGAGTAGATGTCCGATGGGATGATGCCTTCCTGGGATTCGTACCCTCAAAATACATCTTTCAGTCTGGAGGGCTGTACATCTGTGCGTAATCGGCAATGATGGGAATATATTCGTACTGATAGTAAATTTAGCGGTTGGAATCATAGGAGCGACAGGTAGGTAGGTAGGTAGAATCGGCACAAGGTCCCACTGATGAATGGCAGTCATGCCGCACAGTCTTTTTCTAGGTTCGGCGTTGGCTACGCAGGACCGCGTCTCTGCCAACTTGAAACCTCGGCCTGCGGACAACGACACAGGCAAGCTGTCTGCTTCAGGCTTGGCCCCGTCCGAGAAGATGGTGAAGACCTCTGTCATCAGGAAAAACCCCACTGGCAAATTTCTCCAGAAATGTGATAAAAAAGTCAATATTTGAAGAAATGGAAGTTTTAGCTTGAAAAAGCCAAGATTGGGATACTTTCGAACAAGGACAGCAGTGAAATATTTCAACTGATGTATCTGGGCTCCAGCGGCTCTATTGATCGATATGTGTGAGTTCTGGAATGTTGGCATAGCTGTGCTAGTCTTGTTGCCGTCGATGGAGGCAGTGAGCAAGATGATCGAAACGAGAAATCGTGAAGTCCGTTTGAAACTCCGTCACGGACCGATGGACCGATCAGCCCGCATCAAAACGAACCATAATCAACTCTTCTTTCCCTCTTGCCATGACTTGATGACGACCACGACGCGCGACGACCCCGAACAAGCCGTGCCGACATCGACGACTTTGCGTATCCAGCGACTACTATCATCGATGACTGCTGTGAAGAGCATTTTGGACACCATGACGGACGACAAGGTGCGTCTTTTTGTTTGTTCTGCCATTCTCCTCGTCGAACCAACCTGCACATTCCGTGGGCCCGCGTCTCGTCTTTTCACCTTCCTCGGTTGCACAACCTTGTTCTAACGCTGTCTTTAGTATTTACAGCCATTTTCCAACGGGCGCCTGTCGCTTCAAGGTAAGTTCGTCAACGAGTCAAAGACCTCAACATTCGCGAGTGACGTCCGTTAGTCAGTAACAAAGGTATTTTCCCCCTCTCCTTATGTATGATGCACCTCAACCATCTCCAGGACGACGTACTGCCAGTAATCTCGCCACGGACTCTGAACTGGCTTGCTCGGAGGGGCTGAGCAACCCATCCAACTCGCAAATTAACATGTGTGCTGCTCAAGCCGCCGTACGTGCACTGTCCTTCGTCTACTCACAAAACTAAACGATATCTAGACCAATCATACCCGACAGTTGCTTTCGCGCGCGCGCAATTATGACCAACGTGACGACGAGTCATGAGCTGGAACGATCGCCGTTTGTTGGTACGTCGTCTGCTGCTTATGCACAACACAAGTAGACTCACATTTTTTACAGTAACGGTACATGGAGCGCAGGTTACGTCGACAACGCCCAATACGCCAACGACGACTTGAACCTCATTAAGAGTACTGCGCTTGCGACGCAACGTCCGTGCCAATGCGGTGTGCTGGGAGACTTGCTTGTATGTCAACTCTTGCTACCTCATCTCCGACTCTGCTGATCCTCTTCTACCACAGTGCTGCCCTGTCGTCGAGTGCCGTTGGTGTTTATGGCTCTGTTTGATATGTATTGTCTGTAGTGTCACACCTATACCGTATTGTAGCCTCTGTGTCCGTAGTCGCCCATAATATGATGTGTTTTTACTCTCCATTCGTGTGCTCCCGGGATCTAAACAATCAGTCAAACCTCGCTCTTAAGAGCTCTGATCCCAGCTTTTCGAAGCTAAGATCAACTTTGAGCAATAGGGGGGATACCGAAGATTTGCAAAACCAGCAAATCTATTGAAACATCTTAATTCCGGTATTTCAAGGTTAATCTACCTTTTCGTATGATTTTTGCTGTTATTTGCCAGTGGGGCAATTCCTGATGCTGGGAGCGAAAAGTAAGGAAGGGATCGTAGAAGCGCAAACGAGACGTACAATGAATTGATTAATAAAGCGAAACCAAGAAGCGACGAGACGATGTCGATGATGCCATGGTAGATGTGAGCCGAAACGAAGGACAGCGTGTTGTTTTCCCGATCCTCATGTCGAGCGACAGTCGTAGAGTAAGAACTTGGGCAAGGAGTCGCGAAGGCCGACGTAACGGACGTTAACATCTGTCGCCCAATTCTTTGGCATCTGAGAATCTTGATCCTGGCGGCTTCAGTGTTTTTCTTCAATGACTTGAATCGCGACGGAGCTGCGAGTCTATTTGATGCTTACGATCTCATCCGAGACCTGGTCGGGCACTCGGCTGCGACATTGTTCGCTGTAGCTCTACTCGCTGCAGGCCAGAGTTCCTCTATTATCGCGACAGTTGCAGGGCAAGCTGTCTCAGAAGGATTCTTGCAGTGGCGCGTGAGCGTATGTCCATCCTTGAATTACTTGCCAATCTCACTAACATATTTCTTTATAGCCTGTGGTTCGTCGCCTCGCGACCCGCCTCATCGCCCTCATACCATCTCTTGCCGTCACCCGTTAATGCCCTAACCGTATATGATCTCCTCTCATTAGAACCCTAGGTTCTATACTAGTGAATAGCCCGGGTCGGAGCACCCGGTCCGGGTCACGGATGCGGGTGGGTCAGGGTCCGGGTAGGGGTCTCGGTCCGAGAACCCGCTCTGACCCGCGTCACCCGTTCTTACCCGTGCCGTAGTCCAGTTGGACCACATGTGATAATGCAATTAGAGTATATATATATTTATATAAATTATCGAATTTATTTGGGCTCAAACGAGCCCAAAGTCATTGAGAAACGACGTGGCGAAAGAATTTCCGTGATCGCCGAGCTGGCCGATCGTCCCGGCAGTTGCCGGATAACGATCGATCCGCTCAGATCTCCGTTCTCTCCCTCTTACCACCACAGCACGACCTTCGTGTCGTGCTTGTCGGTCTCAGAACATTTTCTGGGGCTCTTCCAACTTCTTTTTGATGTTCTCCTTCGCTCTCCGGACGCGGTTTGGCTTTGCGCCGGCCGCTGCGCCCTCGGACATGTTCCGGGGCGCATTCTGGTGTTCGTCTTCGTGACGACACCAATCCAACGATCCTCCGCGACGTGTAAGCCCTCGGGACGAGGCCACTATATTATTGGATAGCGAGCACGAGCTCGTAGTGTTGCTTGTCTACACGACAGCGCCACGCCCACGGCACTCGTCTATACGACGGCGCCATTTTAACAAGGATACACGGCGCCCAAGCCCTCAGGATGAGGCCGGCTTATCGCTGGACAGTGAGCGCCGCGACGATGTGATGGATCTGCGGGCTGGACGGCGTCGCGGACGCATCCAGCCCAAAACGGTGCGCATTTATCTGACTGTTTAATTCTAATGTTCATTTAGCTATGTCTACCTCTCCCGTCCTGCGTCGCCGCGCTCTGCCTCGACTCGTCCCATCTTCTCGCGCCGTTCTCCCCAATCTCCCCCATATATTCTCCCCATGATGTACCACCGTTGTGTCCCTTCCCTGTTGTCATACAACAGGGTGGGCATCAATTGTGTGCGTCGTGTGCATCGTGCACGTCGCTACCCCTGCGCAATTGCTCGGGGGTCAGCGGCGGGCACGAAGAGGAGTTCTGAGCCCAACCCGGGACGATTCTGGCGGGTAACCCGCACCCGCACTGCGGGACCGGGTAAGTCGAGGGTACGGGTAGGGGTCCCAACCGAAATACCCTCGGGACACCCGCGCTATTCACTATTCTATACAAGCAGCCGTCTAATTACAGTGCTGAAATGCGAGTTGTACATGACTTCTCACCAGAGGCAATGACCATTGCCAGCCATGTATGATTCCTCCCCGACTCGAGTCGCGCTTCCCGCGCGCCCCCTCCCCATATCGGGTCACATTTCCAGGCTAGAGCATCTGGCAAAGCAAGACGACGATTGATTTCATTTCTGCGCATGATCATGATCGAGAACTGCTTCCTCTGATCATGATCGGTTATTGCATTTCGGGATTAATAACAGGGTGCGACATAAATCAAAATATACATAGCTACGATGTAGGTGAATACATGGAGAGCGTATCTACATGCTGAGTAACATCAAGATAATCCAGTGCTGGATCCCCAGTCGCATCGATAACCGCAGCATGATCCCCTGGTGCGCGGGAAAAAAGGATTTGGGCATTGGCATGCATGGCTCGTCTGCGCGCAGCTTGGCGCAGAGCATATGCCCTTGCTCCTTCTACAAATCCAGGAATATTCCGGGTACATTCGGCACCCTCCCCGGCAGCACGAGTCTCCCACATCGCAATCTCAGATGACAG